CAGCCTCAGCCATTTAAAAATCACATTTCTCATGCAATAATCCTATCTACAATGAGCGTGGAAGAAATTATTACAGGCCAGGGATTTTTTCAAAGTGAATTAAGTCACCATAAAAACGGACCGTCCTGGTTTACAATTAAAAGTCTGGGAGAAGGAAATGCCATGATTCCATAGCCTGCTAAGCCTTCAAGAAAAGATGAGTGCTCACATATCTCTGCTGGGAATGTTTTTATAAATTCCTAAAGTGTTTCAAAAATGTTCCAGTGATAAATGCTGCAGGGCTTTTTCATGACTGATATTATCAATTAGCTACTTCTTTATCTAAAACACTTCTGAAATGGGAAAAGACTCCAATGAAGCTTCTGGAGACCAGCCACGTGTTCTTAGAAGAAAGAAAATATTTCAGCTCGAATTCCCTCATAATTAATAAGTATTTAAAATGCAATGTCTGTTTCATCTATAAAGTGTTTTAGGATAGCTTTGAAGGACAGTTTGAGTAGAGTTATTTTTTCCTATTCCTCTTCTGGAGCTGGCAAAATACAGAAATGTGGGGGGGGGGGACATACATATATATATCCCCCAGTCTAGACTTACTTGGGCTTTGGCTATTTAGAGCCCACGTTTGGTGTTTTTAACCTCTGTGATACATTCCTTTCTTTCATCTATGATTCCTGGCCCCCCTTCTCAGTATGCCTGGCTAATCTTCCTGGTATTTCTGGGGCATAAATGGACTCAGAATATGTGACTGAGAAAAAATCAGATAGGAACATCGTTCTGGATCTTTTTTTTAACATAAAAGAAGATTTTCTTTTATTGATATGGAAATGACCAGATGTCTGATAACCTTTTGCCAACCTGAAGCATTTCTGTTTACTCCAGAGAATATCTTTGGGCTGCTGTTTCGTAGCACTTACCCAGTCAATTCAAAAGTTCTGTCACGGATACCAGCATGATCTCGGCTAACCCAAAAATAGGAGATTCATTTCTTGGCCCTTATTTCTGGCTTGGTGCCTCGACTGTCTATAAAACAGGAAAGACACTCTTGCCACTGGACATGAAACGGTTTTATATTTACACACTGGAACACTACAGTGGGTAAAAAGACTGCTCTCACTTAAAATCCCAACACTTTACACATCCACATTGTCTCAGCTGACCACTTCCACTTACCAGCACCAGCAGAGAAATGATATAAACCCAGTAAGTACCTTTTTACTGACTGAGCAATAAAAGTCAATCAGAATGTTTTATCATCTGCCTCTAGGCACAAATCTCTACTCACCCAGGTAAGGTGCTATTGGCAAGGATGAACCCAGAGTATCATAACAGAATTATGTGAGCCCGCAGTTGTCACATCTGCATTCCAGGCTTGAATAGCCAGCAACAAACTGTTTTATTACTAAATCTGCCTCCACTCTCCATCTCTTTCTAGAAAACTCGAAATCAGTATATGAAAAACCAAACCCAGTGTCATCCTTCCCTCTGAGTTCCAACCAGTTCTTTGTTTCCTCCTGTTTCCTAACTCAGCCAACCTCATCACCACGCATTCAGTTACATCCAAGTCATGTGACCTTCTGCCATGAAGCTGGGTCCCCCTATGGGCCACATGACCATTGAGAGTGTTACTGAGAGCGCTCAGAATAGGACTCTTCCCCTGGGGCCATCATACATAGGCAGGCCCTAGCACCTGGGAGCAACCAGACTTCCCTGTATGGGCTCTCTACCACTTTGCCTCCCCTCCTTAACCACGTGCCCTGAAGACATAACTGGGAGAGTGAAGTGGGGTGCACCTCCCAATGGGCTTAGTGCAACAACTCATATGGCAGGATGACATTTGGGAAATATACTGATGAAATTAGAATGTGGTGTTAGTAATATTTTGTAAGAAAAATCTTAAATTCCATAAAATATAAATCTAATAGAATCTTACCTAATTTATAATCATCAACCCTCATATCTTTCTCTAAAGACTTGAAATACTTTGAGACAGAGTCTCACTTTGTCACCCTTGGTAGAGTGCCGTGGCGTCACAGCTCACAGCAACCTCAAACTCTTGGGCTTAAGTGAGTCTCTTGCCTCAGCCTCCCAAGTAGCTGGGACTACAGGTGCCCACCACAACACCCAGCTATTTTTGTTGCTGCAGTTGGTTAGCTGGCACAGCCGGGTTTGAACCTGCCACCCTCGGTATATGTGGCTGGCACCGTAACTACTGTGCTATAGGCACCGAGCCAAGACTGGAAACACTTTCCAAACTGTACCTTAGATAATTTTTATGACATTCTAACAGTCTGAATCACATTTTTTCTTAGCATGTGAATGCGAAAGCTAAAAAACAGAAAAACTGCTTACTCAATGTCACAAAGTAAATATATAATAGAGAAAGAAGTAAATCCAAATCCATCCTAAGAAAATAAGGTCCCTGGACAGACTATTCTGCTCTGACTTTTAAATGCCTACCTAGGAGACTTTTAATGTGATCCAGTAGAATTTAAAACTCTATTGAAGAAAATATTCCCCAAATGCGGTTAAGCATCTTAGTGCATTACAAAGATGATTTTTGCTAATTACCCCTCAAAAACACGTCTTTATCTTCCTGACATTGACTCTCCAAGGCAAACTCCATACTGGAGTCATGACAACATCCCTGTTCTAATAAAATTTAATTCCTTCTATGCCTGAGGGCTACGAAGGTCCACATTTTGCTCATAAATCCAGCCCTAGAAGAAAAAAGGTCTAACTCCCAGTTACATGGCCCTAGATCCATGGTGTGCCGGAGAACATGGCTACTGTTCGGTTAAAATGTTGCAAACGTTAAAGGTCTAATAGAAATTATACCCAAGGGGAGGGTATGAATGTTAAAAATATACAGATACACGCACACCTAAAATTATTATTCCCAAATAGATGCAGAAGATTTCTAGTTAAAATTGAAGCCCCGAGCCTCATTGCTAACAGTGAGCTAATCTAAAGCGCCCTGGCTCAGTCCTGTGCACCCCCTGTGCCAAATGTCACGCTTCACTGTGCTGCTTCATATACCAAACTCAGGCAACCGCGGCACTGGGTGATATGCCCATGTGCACCTAAATGATCCCTGGGGACTCTGGCCATGGCTGACATTTCTTCTCTCAATGTCCTTGGATGACTCTAAGTCCCCTCACTCTGACAACATAATCAGTTTCCCAACTTTGCTTTTATTTCACCAGGTAAATAAAATTGGTATATATATTGAGTTGCCTCCTGTAACACTGAATGAATTTTTCAGGCTGCTTCCACAAAAACAAAACCCTAATTTGTCACACAACTCCATAAAACAAGATGGATGCATTTACGTTTCAACAGTTCTTTCTTCTTTCTGTAGATTGTCCTTCCTCTCCTCCATTTGAATCAAAAAGGGTATATTTTTATTTACTTTTGCACGTAAGGAGAACTCAAACAACACCACAAAGAACCTTTTATGAGAACGAGTCCTTAAAAATGGCCTAAAATAATTTGGTAGGCTATGACGTACTAGGATTGCCGAATATCAGTTGTTCTATCTTCAAGAACCAAGGTTCTTCAAATCTTTATCAGATGGTCCAGTACCATCAAACAACCTCACCATACCCTGTGCTCCCTCCACAAATGTGAACAAATTACGAACGTTGCGTCTACATCCTCCATTAAAATGTAAGCTCTATGTGGACAAGGGCTCTATGTGCCTGTTATTTCCACTGCTGTACCTGACACAGTGTCTTGATAGGAAATCACAGACTACCGAGAGCAAACACATCTGTGAGTGAAGAAATGGTGTTACATCTCAGGGTCTAGCATGCAAGGGCAAAATAAGTTTTTTTGATTCCCCGAGATGTATTCTTGAGATATCATGGCCGATTTATCAGCAAACTGCAAAAATGGCATGGTGACAACAATCCATGAGTTAATTATTCTTGAGGTAAGTTCTGCATTCATAAAGCTAATTCTCCTGTTATATATAATCTTCCCCCATTTTAAACGTCATGGCGTCTGTGGCTATTTGTTTAATTCAACCCTTGCATATGAAAACATCAACGCGTGTGTTGGGTAAGCAGAATAGACAAGCAAATGCAGTTATTCCTAAACTCCACCACTAGAAATAACAATATTTCATTTCCAGAGTCACAGAAATATAAACCAGAAAATGCCACTGAAGAGTGTCAGAAACCTCCAGGGCAAGCCCCTGTGTTTTCTTGATATTGCTCTCTAACCACTGATAAAAACTCTTTGAAGTGGAAGAGTAAATATTATCATCTGATAGTACTTGGACCCAACAGTGCAAATACAGTTGCATTGTGTTACACTCTGGGGGCTCCGGCCAGCGCCACACAACGCCGGCTGGGTTGCTATGGAGGAACCAATGTGCTCAGCGCAGGAGCTGGCCAGGAGGTAGCACGGCTGGGAGGAGGCTGCCCACCTCGCGCTCGTCCCTAGACACACAGCCTGTTGGGTGTGGGGGGGATGCAGGGTAACAGATACGTTTCTGTTTCTGCAATCCTGGCAAGGAAGGACTCCAAATAGGCGATGGGAAACGTCAACTCCCAAGTATCAGTTTGCTGTTAGGACTCCCATCGACATTTTTGTAAAAGGAATGTGGGTGGGGGTGGGAAAAAACCTAATGGGCCACCTGCAGTCCGGGACCCGGCAGCAGGACAAACCGCCCGCAGGCTCCCCCCGGGGACCCTTCGGACAGCGGCCACGCGCGCTCCCGAGCCAGCCCTCTGCCCCAGGGCGGCCTGGCTGAGACAGTCGCGCGGGGTCGTCCCGCGTGCCTGACCCCCGGGGGTGTGCAG